GGGGGGGGGGGGGGGGGGGGGGGGGGAGTGGGTCCAAATTTCTACCCTTAAACACTTCAACACTCCTTTCAGATCGTGTTTCACAAAATGTGTGTAAATGGGTCATATGAGAAGCTATCTTTCATTTTCAGATTCAAAGATGTCTTCATTTGTGACAGCAGAATGTCCGATATGTGAAGAGCCATTAGGCAAGAACGACGAAGTAGTGATAACGGAATGTGGTCATACATTTCATCGTGCTTGTGCTCAAGAGCGTGTCAATAAGAAAAAGAAAACCGATTGTCGTGTTTGTCAGAAGGAATCAGCTCTTGCCAATGCACTTTATCAAAATCAAACGACAACAATACAGAAAACTACAGGACAAAGTTCATATTCAATTGAAACTGAAGAAAATGTAAGTTGCTCTGTCACGCCGACAATGATTAACGAAAGAAACAGATCACGTAAACTTCCTGCTATAAGTAACAGTAATCGGGATTCCGGAATTTCGTCAATTCCACTGTGGATTAGACGTAGACTAAAAAACTTTTATCAGCTACGTTGTTGAGTGTAAGCTATGATATACATATTCTAATAACATAAACTTCAGCTGTGACATATATCCTATTTTAAGGGGGCCCCCTCTTAGAAACCAACTTTGTTATTTTCCCACCCGATTTCAACCAAAATTTCAGAGAATGTTAGTCTTGGCTGGAATAGCCTATGATTAAAATATCTCCTCCAAATCTCAAAGATATGCACAAGTTCTAGTCAATTCATTACCATTTACGTGGACAACGTTTCCACAATGGGGATACTAGCTAAGTATGTCACCGTAGTTTTTAAATTGTAGAGTACCCTTAGGAGTAGATCCTTAGAGGGTGCGATTTTTGAATTACCCTGTTTGATTTTTAAAAAAAATACTTTTTTCGAAAAATTTCCAAATTCAAAGCGCTAATAAATATGAAATATGTAAGTTTTTTATTTCAGCAAAAGAGAAATTCAAAAATGGGAGCCTTTGAGGATCTAGCCCTAACTGTCCTCAATTCAACAAAAAAAAACTATCATTTCTATATTGAGCCGTTATTAAGAAAACCTTGCCCGCCTAAACAGTATGGTCGAAAAAATTGATTTTGAGAAAAACGCTAAACAAGTTTTAGAAATCGATTTTTTTCATTCAAATTCCTTAGATTTTTTTTGTTTGTACGTCAATGTTATATGTATATATCAGTGTCCCGGAGTCTGGAAATATATGATCTTTATCTTAACTGTTAGTAGGCTCCTAATGATTAATAAAAAAACCGCTTCGCTCAATACTGATGCAACTGGAAAAGCAGTTTCTTAAACTGAAAAGCTTGAAAAAAATCGCAAAAAACATGATAGTAGGGTCCAAATTTTAGCCGATTAGTCCGTTCGAATCTGGTCATTTTGTGAAAAGCTATATATATTCTGAAAGAGGAGACTTCAGTGCATCTTCCTATGATAAAAACTCAACTTCGAGTTTTCTTCAAAAAATAGGTTTGTTGAGAGCTGCCCCCCTCCCCCCTTAGTAGTGTTTCGTGACAACTGGCAAAGTCCACTGTACTTTCGCCAACGCACATCCTGGAATTTCACCAATTGGTGAAAGTCTTATTGACGAACGTCCTGCCACCCTAGTAATCTCACAATGGCAAAAATTGAAAATTCATCAAGTACTTACATGGAAACGGGCCACCATAGTAAAAACAAAACGAAAACTTGCCGAATTTATTCAGTTGTACGTGTCAGATTTCGTGTGTACCTGGTACCAGTTGCCCCTAGTCGACATTCTTACAGTATCACTGTTTAAGAAAAACGTGAATTGCGAACGTTTCCACTCCCTAAAAACAATAAAAGGTTAAACATCCGTATCTGCTGGTGAAATTCCCTGAAATGATTTGACATTATCTGAGCCAAACATTTTTTTATTGTTTTCGAAGGATTTTGCCGTCGGGAACAGATGCCAAACCTTGACAGATTCGGCATGACACCTTCTGTTTTTGGAGAGCAGATCGTCTTCAATGTTCTAATTTTTCTAGTTTATAGGGTTTCAATCGTTGTCGAAAGACTTGATTACTCAAGAGTATTCTTTCCCACTGGAAAAATTGCAAGTGCCAATCGGATTATTGTAAAACAAAATGCAGATTTCAATCGAATTTTGCAAATAATTACTAATAAAGATGGCAAATAACTGTTAAAACCAATTAAAAACCACATCTTGTTTCACAATAATCCGATTGATAATCGCAAATAGCATTCCGATACTCGTTAGCTTGTAATAGGAATTTTTAGTGCTCTTCAAATCTTTTGAATATTGGGATGTCTCATTTAATTGTGTCCTGGTAAGAGTCTTCCGTAATCATGAATGGTCTGATTACAAGGTACCAAAGCACAGAAGTATCGGTTGTTGAGGCTACGAGTCGATTATAGACTGAAGAAATAAGAATCAAATAATCTTGTCTCACGTCCCAGTCAACTTTTCATGAAACATTTTGATCGATTCTAAAGTATTAAGCAAAATTTTTCTAAAACTATCAACATTAGAGAAAGGGATCGACAGAAATGAGCAAGTTTAGATAGCGAATAGAGAGATCGAGCTAAACTGAAGTCTGATGATATGAGTAAAAAACGTCATTTTGTATTGAATGCAAACAAGTTATACAAGAAAATCGATAGTTTAGAGCTTTGAAAAGGTGGAAAGTTCAAATTGAATATCACATTCCTAGAATGAACATGCGAATGACAGAAGTCAAAACTCTTGGCAATGTGAATATTGTTGTGAAACCAATGAGAAATCAGCAAAACGCTGCGAATCATGTGGGGAACCACGGAATACTCTGTCTTCAATGTCAGATGCGGCGACACAAGGAACAGCAGTTGACGACGAAGAAGAAAACGACCAAGCAGCGCCGCCGACTGGAGATAATGACGATTATCCCTACAAACCTCCAAAATCAAGAACCAAATGTAAGTTTTCAAAGCGTTGTTTTTGCTATTGCATCATGTTATCCACCCACAAGTTTTGTTGGATCGCGCTGAAAATATCTTCATTCGCTAGAAGAATCTATCAGACACGGTGAACCAAACTGTAGCCAATGCCTTTCCTAAATAAGTTGACTAATGATATCTTTCTCTGAAGAGTAATGGTGAAAATAAATGAGAATACACAACAAATAACTGTCGCAAATATGAAAAACGGTCCTAGAATTCTCCCTTTATTGATGTAATTGGAGCAACACTTCAGTCATCCTCAAACAACTGAAGCATTCTTTTCCTCCTTTTTCTTTGGGTTGACATTTCACTGATCTACATCACTGGTTCTCGTTCATGGTTCAGTCGATCTTTCATGTTGTTTCTCCATCATCGAGTTCTGAATTCATCATGCGAACGAAAACAAACGGTATATAATGATGCAGTATCGAAATAAAAGTTTCACTTGTCTAAAGACTACTTGAAGTGCTAGTCAAAAGTTTGCAGTAATTAAAGAAGGTGTTGGAGAACTATTCCTGTTATTTGTGGCCGTTATTTGCTTTGTATTTTGCTTTATTTTTATCAATATGTCCTTCAAAACCATATTTGAACTACGATACTCTCCAGAAATATGATGACGTCCTATTTCAACATATATGACGATGTGAAAATCTTACAATGAAAGTGAGGACAACAAAATATGAGCTTCAGTTTTTGCACTTTGTCCTAATTCAGAGTTCGAATCCGTAAAGAAAAGTCATGCCAGGCGGTTCCAATTATGTCCTCATCTCTAATATGATCTCAGAATTTGGTCTGCCGTTGGCTTTTCTATTAAACTTTGCCCACGTCTCCACGTCTGAAGTGACAGCTGTATACCAACGCAGATGTATAGATCTCGAATTCTAGCAGCAACAGTGTTGCTTATTAATGTATGAACTTCAATAGTAATTCTTGCTGTAGCGATCAAATTCTTCGAAATCTATTCAATTCAGAGGGTTTATTATTCTACTCTTTTTCACAGCATACAGTGCTCATGATTCCTCAGTGCCTGGTATGCCTGATTATACATCAGATCAACTCTCGTGGCCCAGTTTCGGTGACACATCTACAACGTCTAAACAAGAGAAGAAACCAGTAGCAACGATTGCGACATCTGTCTTTGGTACGAAAGAAAAATCACAGAAAGAAGTAATAAAATTGTCGACTCAATTTCAGTCACTATCGCTTGAAAAGAACGAAGCAGTCGTCTACATTTCTATTCCTGAGTTATCTACACAGAATGATAACGACTTCGAGTTGGCACGTTTGATTCGCCGTCGCATTGAGGAAATGCTTCGAATTCGACTAACTGAAGTTAATTATTATTCGAAATTGGGTGTCGGTCTCGTTCGTGTCGACAGCGCTGAAATACGAGATCATTTAGTTAAAGTCGTTGGAAAAATAGCATTGGATCCATCAGGAGGACTAACTATGATTTCATTCACTGACACACTCGAACTTGTGTCATACATTGTAATATGCATGACGACAGAGAAGGATGTTGTTTTACCAACAGTCGAAGAGGTCAAACACCGGTGGATGCAGTTGTACAAAGGAAAGAATCAGTGTGAGTGTGACCAACTGAACGTTCAATTTCCAAATATCTATCGCATTATTTCTACATCTCTCGATGAACTTCTCAACGCCACATCTATACAAGACTTCGCTTTCAAAAAGAATCAATTCGCACGAGTCTACTTTTGTGCGGATTCTAGTTTTTTCGAAGATCTCCCAAAATCGATAACTGAAAATCAATTGCGAGAAGCCATTTGCAAGGCTATCGGAGAAGCGAACATACCATCATCATCTCTCTATATTAAACTGAATAAACAGACACATAACGCGTGCATTATTGCTGCCGATACGGCACGAAAATGGGCCACGAAAACTTTTCTCCATGTCGAAGGCAAGTCAATATCGAAGACGGAAAATTTGAGTTGTCGCTTACTTCTTCGTCCAGTTCCTCAAACATTTGCCGTCGATGCCATTGTTAATCATAAGATATTTGCTGGAAAAGCGAAAGTGTATAAACGTCGTGAGGAGAATCTTGTTCTCGAACTATCAGACGAGAAAGTTTTTGACGACTGTGTAGAACGCGGAGTACTTCGTGTTGCGGACAAAAATATGTTTCCTATGGAAATATACACTGCCTTGAGCAATCCGGAAGAGAGTGAGATTGATGCTGACACATGGTATAAGGAAGAAATGCTTCGATACAAACCGGACATTATGCAATTTATTGCCAATCCTGAACATAATATCTTTCATTACAAGTGGAATTCACAAATATGGTTCGAACAATTCAATTGTACATTATCTCAAAATCGTAGTGCCAGCAGTAACGTTAATTCACGTGATCGAAAGGGCATAACAGGCGATCAAATCCGTCATCTACTTCGAGTGACTGTCATGCTCAATACGATTGCTGTTATACGCAAAAAGAACTACATGATCGGCGATCGAAAAATCGAATTGAATATAGACAAAAAGCTCAAGACCATCCTCTATAATCATAAATCCAAGTTAGAACGAGGTCAAACGGTGCCCATAAAGAAGACTCCTTACGATGAGACAAAAGTCAAAGTAGTGAACAAAGACTGTCTTGTGGTTTACAAAGAGTGTGCTAAAGATTACGAAAAACCGCTACTTCTGAACATGGCTAGTGCAACGAGTCCAGGAGGTGGATATCGAAAGGGTGATGGAGCACAAGAGGAGAATCTCTTCCGACGATCAGACTATTTTCGAAGTCTCGATATTGGTCTCAACGAGTTTGAAAAGCCATCTGAACGATTTCGGTGTTCATCTACTTGTGAGCTCGATTCTTCCTTCGATCCGACAAGCATGTACCCGATGGATGAGTATGGAGCTATTTACACAGCCGGCTTGACTGTTTTTCGTCAGCCCGAAGATAAAGGCTATGCTTATATGGAAGAACCGTTACATGGTGTCTGTTCGTTGGCAATGGCTGCTTATCGAGATCCGAAGTTGGATGGAAAAATGTTGGCACCCAAATACGCTGTTGGAACGCGTAAGAAAATTGAAAATATCTTTGCTATTGCCTATCATCACAAACACGATTGTCTTGTTTTATCAGCTCTCGGCTGTGGTGCGTTCTCAAATCCGCCCACTCATGTTGCAAAACTCTTCCATTCAGTTATTGATCAATATGCAGGCTTTTTCAAATTAATCGTATTTGCCATTGTTGACGATCATAATACAGGACATCAAACAAATCCTGATGGCAATTTTATACCATTTCAACGTGAACTAGATGGAAAAACCGTGAAGCCGATCACACTAATTAAACAAGCAAATACTATATTCGGTCCTTATCGCGTTATATCCGATAGTTCCACAGTGAGTGATGTCTGCATCTTTGATTTGACACCATGTAATTTTGGTGCCAAATGCAACGAAATCTATAATCCTAAACACGCTCATGAGTTCTCCCACCCACCTCTGTGCGCGCAACAATGCTTGAAGGGCAAATGCACAGAAACAAATGATATTGTTCATATGTCTTCATTTATTCATCGACATCCATGTAAACATGGTGCTCAATGCACACATATTGACGACAAACAACATGCTCAAGAATTCGAACATCCATCGTATTGTCCATCTGGAGGTAAATGTCAGGATACGGCAGAGGAACATGAGAAAGCATATCGTCACTTACCATCGTGCAAATATTGGAAGAAATGTACGAAATTTCGAACTCATGATAAAGCTCATTGTGATGCCTTTCGCCACCTTACGCCTCGTTGTACATATGGAAGTTACTGTGTCAATTTTCATGATAGAAAACATATAGACGAATACGAACATCCATTTCCTACGCCATGTCCTCTTACTCCGTATCACTGTGCATTGCACGATGAACTAACACAAAGTTCAGACCCACGAAAGGTCCGACACAGTATCCAACAACATTGTCTTGATTTTGCTCATGTCTGTCGATTTGGACGCAACTGTAACGATGTAGATTCATTACATTGGGAGAATGAGATCCATATTCCTCGTAAACTTTGCCCCTTTGGTGGCAAATGCACGAAAATCACCCAAGAAGATCATTTGAATTCATTCACACATTCAGATATTCGGGATATTCGACGTTCGTGTAAACATGCCGATCAATGTCATGATCAACGAAAACCTGAGCACATAAATAAATTTCGTCATTCGATGACATTTGAAGATAGTGGCGTAGTTCGCTATTATGATTTGAATAAGAACGTCAATTTTGTTCAAAATCAAAAGGACAGCATTGCTCGAGTCACAAAATATATCCAGCATGAAAAATGGAAACCATTACCATCGGATTCTATCCCCAAAGAGATTATCGATTGGATACGTACTGTTCAGCCTGTTCATCGATGTAATCCAGAAATATTTGAGTCGATTATTTTTCATGGACATGTCATGAGTCGAGAGTACATGGAACTTTTGAAAAAACCGAGATTCGTTGCCAATTCTGTCCTTCAGCATAGTCGAATACGACGAATTAGTACTTTAAAAATAAAAACCTATGCAGAACACGCCAAGGACTACATAACAGCTTTGGTCACCAAAGAATATAAGAAAGCTAGATTTCCAAATACGTATGCGCACGAGCATGTGGAAAGCCCTGGACCATCATCTCCCGATGATTCCAGTTCGGCATCTCATATCAAAATAATTCAGAGGGAAGAAGTATATCTGTCAAACATTATTCAACACAAGGATATGGAAGCAATTCGTACAAAAGCAATTGAAATAGCTGAGGCTTCCATTAAACTTCATTCAAATCCAGCTGGAATTGGCTATCCACCAGACAAAGCTTTGAAAACAAATAAACATGTTTTCAGTATTATTGGACCACATCTAGGTGATTACTATGGAGACGTGGTCATCGTTCTGAAACGCGAAATTCTCCATCATCCAGACGCAAATTTTTCTATTCAAACAGCAACATCATTTGTCAGTGGAAAGGCTTACCAGTGGCGTCCGTGGCTAGGCGATGATCCAGGATCGGAAGACAAGAGAATCAAACTTTATCACAAATCTAAATTACACGCTTCAATTCCAGGTTATGAATATGCGACTGCTCTCGAATTGATCGCCATTACCAGTCATGATTTGCATAAGAAGACGATGGACGTTGATCTTCAAATGATTCTCAAACGGTGGCTCAAAGTTGATTCTCATCAGACCATCGAAGGTCATTTGCCTCAACTAATTCCTCTGGATTACATCGATCATATTTACATGACACAGAAAATATTCGATTCGCTCAATGCTAACACACACCGGGCAATCAAAGCTGTTTTTGAGCAACGAATGACGATCGTACAGCACAAGTCTAAACAAGAATATAATGAATTTGTTGTCAACGAACTGATTAAACGATTTGGTCACCGTGATACACATTCACTCTCAAGACCTATTCGAGGTGCCGTCATTACAATACCGTCAACTATGCTCGATGATCATTTCGTTTTGCCTCTCACAATTTCCCAAGCCTATGCGCAATACCGCATTGATCATCCGAAATCGTCGACAGGCAACATAACTTATATCTATTGGCAAGCGATGAATGGTGATATGATGTTGGCACTATCAAACGAACAGATTGATCCAAGTGAGAAACAACCGAACCTTCGCTGTTTGATTTGTTACGTTGCTGAAAAGCCCACATTAATTGATGCTCACTATCATGAATGTGCATCGTATTTGAATATAGGCCGACCTTCTCAACACCACGTCTTTATCAGTAGAAACAAATATGCGGACAAATCGACGGCATTCTATGTTGGATGTAATACTGATGATTTTATGACTTTTTGTCTTGAAATTCAACGTTCAACTGGCACGGTCACACTCTCTCATGCCGGTCCAAATTCAATCTACAATCATGAAACAATTTCCTGTACATTCGCTAAAACAGAATTTGATCTGACTAAATTGGAATTCATTCATGTTAGTGCTGGTGCTCGTACAGTGCCTGTTCGAAATTTGATCATCGCCTTCGAGAAACTAACCGATCTACATCCAACATTCGATAAGGACTTCAAGAAGAGTTCTGCTCCCTTCAAAACGGCAGTGCCAGCTGATGCACACGCCAAGAAAGATTATAAGAACCATCGTGCACCATCACCTAAAACAGTTGATGATAAAGAAGCGAAATCAAGTGGCTTTCTCAATCAAGTGAAAGATCAAGTTATTCAAATGAAGGATCAAGTGAAGGAATTCTTTTTAGGTGAGGATAGTTCATCAGAGCAGAAAGAACAAACACAGAAACAGCATCATGGGCACGACCAACGAATACTCTGTAAATGGGGTTCACAATGTCGGGAGATTTCAGATCACCAGCATCGTGCGAAATACTCTCATCATACTAGTGCTCAACAACAAGATGATCAACGCACCCCTTGCAAGTGGGGTGAGCAGTGTCATGATCACAAAAGCGACCATCTAGCAAAATACTCTCATCCCCAAGGTAGTAAACAAAAACAATCAAGCAATGATCAAATTCCTTGTAAGTGGGGTGCACAGTGTCACGATTTCGATAGCAAACATAGAACGAAATTTTCACATCCTCAAGATAACAATAATCGAACTCCTTGCAAATGGGGTGCACGGTGCCACGATCACAGCAGCGATCATCGGGCGAAATACTCCCATTCTTCAGCTAAATAGCAAACAAAATACAGTATCGACTTAATCTGATCATTATTAACGAACAGAGAAGTGATGATCATTAAGCAAGAAAAAACATTATATTCTTACTAATAAATGCCAAATATCATATCTGATGTCGGCACCAGAAATAGAGAAGAGCAGCTGATATCGTTTATATTTTTCAATTTTCTCTTGTTGCTTAGATTACATAGAATAGATGTTTTCAAAGAGGTTCTGCTTGCAAATCCCTAACAGAGTACTGTATTTCATACAACGAACATAATTGTGTGTAGTTTTTAAAAGTCAGCATGAATATTTGGGAAGACAATTCAAACTTTCTAAAATCGTGACGCTATAAAGTTTTCTGCAGCTTATTTTAAATTGTTTAATAATTCAACTTTAATGTGGACATGTCTTCAGTTCCTAGGGGATGTGGGTGTGGGGTGTGGCTGTGGCTGTGACTGTGGAGTGTGGGCGTGGGTGGATGTGAGCGTAGGGGGTGGGCGTGGGGTGTGGGTGTGGGTGGATGTGGGGTGTGGGATGTGGGTTTGGGTGTGAGATGTGGATGTGGGTGTATGTGATTAAATACAAAAGGAACACCCACATCCACCCTCAAGTTTAAATGTGTTTTGGAAAATTTTTCTTGCTTAATACTTGAAACTAAAGGCACGACACATTTCAATACTTAAACAAACAATATTGTACATGTATACTGAATGCTTTTATTTCAAGAATGAAAAAAAAATCAAGATTTCTTGAAGTAGATTTAAGAATTTTCGTATCTCTTTGATGGTCCCAGAATGATTTTTTTCACAGTTCTGATTCCAGTTCGGTTTTTAGATTTTTTTATTAGAACCGTCGAGCTTTATCTGTAGGACTAAAAATTTTTTTTTTCAAGATTTCTGAGACAGATTAAGAGAAAAGTCTTGGAAGTGTTGCACTTAAAGCGTGTTCTTGCTGCAAAATTTCCAATTCCATCAGTCATTGTCTCTTTATGATAAGCAAAGCTTTTTAGATACCCCTATCAAATTGCTCTTCGAGTGTCATTTGTTACCTGTATCTAAGGAAAAGTGTCACCGTTCTATACATGCATCAGGTGCCACAGAAAGGTAATATAAGCTTGAACATTCATAATAGTTGTCGAAACGAATAAATTTTCTTATTACTTGCTTTGATTTGATTTGAAAGTATTTTTTAGGAAAGAATCGTACATACAATGCTATATTTCATGTTCGATGGTTTAATGCATCTCCTGACACATATGAAAGATCTATTTTAAGTATTAACAATAGAATTCCAGCACCTACTATTATAGTAGAACAAGGCGATATAATAAATATAACACTAATTAATGAGTCACCAGATGAAGCTGCAATTCATTGGCATGGTCTATTATAACGCAATACATTACATATGGGGACGGAGTTTCACGTGTTACTCAATGCTCAATATTACCAAATCAATCATATGTATACACATTTTTCACAAATGGACAGTCAGGTACTTATTGGTATCATTCACATTATGCAATGCAATATGGTGATGGTCTCAAAGATGTTTTAATTATAAATGATTCACATGATCCGTAGATAAATTTCTGTGAAGACGAAGAAGTTCTTCAATTGACTGATTAGTATTATACGCCTGTTCATATTCTATTAAGATCATATTTATATGCAGGTACAATGGCTTCCATACCAGATACAGGTCTTATTAATGGTATCGGACAATTTAATTGTAGTTCAAATAAAAATTATTCTTATTATCGTGCGTCTATTCGAACAGGTAGAACAAAATGATTTCGTATTATCAATACATCAGTTTATGCTAGAATAACATTAACAATCGGTCAACATCGAATGAGATTAATAGAAGCAGATGGAGTTTATTTAGATGGAAATAAATATCTTACGAGACTTTGTTTAAGTCCCGGTCAACGATATTCAGTATTAATTACTGGTAAATTAAATTTTACTAAAATCTATTGGATATGTGCAACAATTCATCCATTTGTTGATAATAATAATTATCATACGTAATTCATCAATTCAACCTAATGTTGGTGCAATTCTACGATATATTAATGAGAATAATGATAATATTCATAGTATAATACCATCGATGGATACATTTAACAATGATGCATTAATTATAAATCAATCATTTACTAAAAGAGAAGTGTTTAGCAATGAATTAGGTTTAATTTCAATGAATAATACAAAATTTCATGTTTCAAATAGTCAAAATATAAAAACCTTCATTTATAATTCTAAATATAATGGTCAAAATCCCGGTTATTTTTATTTCCATAATCAAGCATTTATTCATCCAACAAATTTTACTTTATTATCATCAGTTTTGTTCAATAATTCAAAAGAATTCCATTGACCAGCAAGTGTTCAAGTGGGAAATGATGAAATAATTGATGTTATTATAAATAATATTGATTTTGCTCCTCATCCATTTCATCTTCATGGTCATCATGTATGGATATTAGCTCAAGGAAATACAAAAGATGGTTATTTCAATCAATCAACATTAGATAATATTCTTTATAACCGGATTAGTCCAATCTATCGAGATACGTTAAGAAGAATTTAACAAGTTATATTTCATCACAGTGTCAAAATCATTCTTAAATTAGTCTATTTTCCAATTATAAATATTCATATCCAAACTAAAAAAAATTATTCACTTTTGTAATATACAAACAAATTAAGTAAATATATATATAAATTGCTTTATTTGAATGATTTGACCATATTAATCCTGACCACTATAATAATAATAATAACTTGAATTCTATCATCAGCACAGAAAATAAAATAAAAGGATTAAAAAAGAGAATAACAGCAGGAGGAAAAGATTCGATTTATGAAAGAAATGATTATTCTCTTTCTTTCAAGGTTGAGAGTATTCATTGCAGAATTCGAGAAGTTTGCCAAAGTATGTTGAGGAGTCCTTATAAAATGTTGTCATACGTATTCTAGGTCGCCCTCTTGGTATTGATTGTATGCAAGCCTTTTTAAGGTAGTGATTACGCGTTGTATTCACTATATTTTTATACATTAAATAACAGCCAATTAATTCTTGTTCATATTGTTCAATGTTGGCAGGTGAAGAACTTTTCGAAGATTGTCTGTTGGACATTAAAATAGGTGATATATGATTCGTAAACAACGACGATAAAAGTCATTAATCTTATCTTTTTGTAAGGCTCCCGCAACGCGAAATTCAAGTAAAAATTTTTTTTTCGATTTTTTTTTTTACATCATCTGATAGAGCTTGAGCTGCTGATTATAGAAATCTACTTTTTAG